AAAAAGAATATACATAACAAGATTGTGATTAAGAAATATGTATTTAGAAACTTATTTACGATATTTCTAAAATGGTCACCCATCCAAGCCATGAACCTTCTGAAAGAGCGGGCGGATTCCGTTTCGAGCTGCCGTGGAAGCAAGTTGTATCGTGCCGGTCGACTGGCTTCGACTGTCTTGAATTACTCATTTGAGGGAATTATTCTGCAAACTGTATCACTAGCGTTGAAGTGTGCGCTACGCTCGTTACGCCTGGCGTACGAGGTCCAAGAATTTATCAACTTAATGGTGCCGGTGTGCCTCAAACTTGTGTGGAACGGAATCCTTTTTCTACTACTGCATACTACGTCAAACCATAAAGGAAGAAGGAAGGAAGCCATTTTGATTACTGGGCCTTGCTATTTCGTGGCACACGGGAATCTTGGCTCTTCAAATGAAATCTAATATCTGCGCTGCTCTCACAAGGAAATCAACCAATTGTCAAGTCGATTATATCTATTGCATAATTGCATTTTAATGTATCTTAATTAAGATAACCCTGCTCTAATTCATAGCCTATTATTATATTTATTAATAAAGAATAACTTTTTAAATTATAAGATTACTTTATAATAGTCATTGCAAGTTTAAAAAGTTATTAATTGGTGGTTTATCATTTATGTTTTCGATGTCGATTGAGGTTATATGATTTCAATCGTATACATATTAGACCTATTAGGATCGACTTATTATAAAAAATAAATTATTTATAAATTAATCATAATTGTTATTCCGTATCTCATTTAATGCCATTTTTCGTGATATTTTTCTGTAGTATCACAATCAGTTATCTTTGGTTATTATATTACATTTATAACACGTACATACATGGCTTGCACACGATGGACATATATGGCTCTTTCGGTTTTGCTGCTCGTTCGCTTTTGCTGTTCGTTTGGTTGAACTTCAAAAAGATGCTGCGAAATGTATTTTGCGCCGGACGTGCGTCATCTAACTAAAATTTTTAACCAATAGTAACGAATTGCTGCAACTTCACACTGCGCATGAAATGGCACCTTTAGGCGAGGGGAATACAATAGAAATGCGGGGGATTGCCGCCTGGTTTTTATTGGCTACGGATATGCGCATGCTCAGTTCACTCTTATTGGATCCAAGATCTCCCCCTCCACAGCAAAAGCATAGGGATACTCGGTCTATTATATATCTCTTATACACATCTCTGAGCGGGCTGGCA